CCCCAATTCTCATTCCCCCCCCCCCCCCCCCGCCCTGGCTGCTTTTTGAAGTAGAATTGCGCTCACATAAGAATGGTTGGAAAAAAGCACTCAGAGGAAAGCGTGGCGAAAAAGGGGTGAGGGGAAAGCAGCACTGTTTGAAATGACATAAGCGGAATCTGCATTTGTCTTTCCCACCGGTGTGGTGTCCCAGCCTTCTGACTCCATCTTCAAAAAAGCTGTCTACATTTGGTGTCGTTTTCACACCTCAACAGTGCTATCATACTTTTGCACGTCCACATATGTTTATCGTCCTTTTGGGGCGGCTCCACTGTCATTGTGCCTTTGCACTGCTTTAAAAGAATCTTCTCCAAACAACATGCAAACAAGCATAGAGAAAGACGGTGTCACAGCAGCACGAAAATGATTTTAAAATGCAAATGCAGATTCGGCCATAGAGCTTTAGAGACGGCTCATTAACGGAAGGAAAATCACTGTGGTCGAATCTGCATTTGCATTTTTAAATCAGTTTCGTGCTGCTGTGATGCCATCTTTCTCTATGCTTGTTTGAATGTTGTTTGGAGAAGATTCTTTTAAAGCTGTGCAGAGGTGCAATGAGGATGTGCAAAAGTATGCTAGCACTGTTGAGGTGTGAAAACGACACCAAATGTAGACAGCTTTTTTGAAGACGGAGTCAGAAGGCTGGGACACCGGTGGGAAAGACAAATGCAGATTCGACCTGTGTGAAAAACCCCTTCCCTGTATCGCTTTACTCAATGATGGGCCAAGAATGAATAACATCTAGTTGAGAACGGTAATGTGGAAAGGGTCTACTGTTGTAGTTACTCTTGTCGGAACAAATAGAAATACATAATGAATAAATGGCTCCAATTTCTAGAGGCAACTCTTCTACCTAATTCGACATCGAGATCCCAAATTCCGCAATGTTTTTACGAAATCGTTAGTTATATGTACCAATATATATAGTTTTATGAATAGTCTGGAAGATCTCTACGTTATAATGCCAATCTATACTACCGTTATTGTATGTAACCTAGTGATTTTTCTTTCATAAGTCGTTTATGTATTCTTCATGATTTATGTTGATTTTGTTGCTGCGTTATAAGTTGAAATGGTTGTTGTTATATGAATATCTAATAACAATTAAAAAAAGAAATTACATTTTCCCCCCTCCAGATCAGTAACCTTTTCTACAACAAAGAAATTATGGAAAGAATTGAGCTGTACTACAACAAGTGTGCAGATATCCAAAGCACAGCATCTGTGTATGGATTCGAGCTGAGACAAGAAGAGGGAAAGTGTAAGTATGAAGCAGCAGTCTGTGAATAACGGTCCCCACCTTGCTGTGCTTCCTGTTGTGTATGTGTATATACATGTGTGTGTGTGTTTGTGCATGTATATTTAAGGTTTTTCACTTAGGGCTTGGAGAAATATGGATGGTGAAAACTACATTATGTTATTTTTCTGCTTGGGCACATCCACACTACAAAATGCATCTTGATTTCATACAACGTTAAAGGTGATCGTTTCCCCTCATTCACCCCCAAATCCTGGGATTGTAGTTTGGTGAAGATTCTCAGAATTCTGTTGGGTTAGAGTCCTGTAGTCCCCCTCACAGAACTACAGTTCCCAGGTTTCCTGGGGAAAAGGGAATAATTGTCAGGGGTCATTTCCGCCGGGAGCGCACAGGAGCGGAGCTCCAGCAGTAAGGAGTCCAGGGGGCGGGCACATGCAACAAGCCCCAACCCCTGCTTCCAGCAGCCCTCAGTTGGCCATGAAGATCAAGAAGCAGCCAGGTAAGTTGCAGACTCCCCCCCCCCCAGCCCACCTTCAGGTACAAGCTCTCCCTCCTCTGTGAGGGCAGATCTGCACGTCCCCGCCCAAATAGCTAGCAATCTAAAACAGTCCAGTGGAGCCTGAGCGGTGGGTGTTGCCTTCTGACACACTTCCGGTGATGTCAGGGGGTGTGGCATATGCAAATAAGTTATGCTAATGAGTTATGCTAATGAGCTCCTGCACCTCTTTTTCTACGAAATGACCCCTGATAATTGTGATCCCCATCTAAACCTGCTGTCGTAAACACCTGTTAGTAAGGGTGAGTCTCATTTCGAACAGCGGGACTGCCTTCTGAATAAACATGTTTAAGATCAGGCTGAATGTTTGTAGCGTAGACATGCTCACAACCTGAAGAGCTCAGGAACCAAAAATCAATCAAGAGCAACGTGATCTTTAAATGGAAGGGATATTTTTTTTGGCATCATAAAGGTAACGCTGAAGGAAAAAATAGCTTCCGTATGTGAAAAGCTTCTGAAAACCAGCTAGGATGATTCTCTTTTCTTTCGCTTCAGGCCTTCATGAAAACTATTATTTGGAAATGAACGAGAAGTATGGAGGAAACATCAAGAAGTGCAAAGCCTCCTTGTGGGGAAAAGAGCTGAGGGATAAATATGAGGAGCTGTTCAAAGAACTTCAAGATACTGATTTGCCAGGCGGTAAGGGGGGGGGGAATTCTTGTTTCTTTTCCTTTCCTTTTGTGATTTCTGCACTTTTGCTCCAGTCCTAGGCTAGGAAGCATCCACGGTGGCCATGGTAAAAAGTTCCCACAATTTTTCTCTGCCATTTCCACAGAGGTCTTGGGGGCCACCTGAAGGTGTACTGAGGACCAAGGCTCCCTCTAAGCTGTGGAATCTTGTGAGCAAAAATTCTACTTTGTCAGCTCCTGGCATTAAAGTTGTGAGCGAGCGATTTGGCTGCCGCATTCAGTCAGTTTGCTCTGGAGCCCTCCTTCCTGAGCTAAGACAACAATGTGCGAGCTGGAGGTTAAAAAACGGTGAGCTGGCTCTCACTGACTCAGCTTAGAGGGAACACTTCTCTGGAGCCCTCCTTCCTGAGCTAAGACAAAAATGTGTGAGCTTGAGGCTAAAAAACCGTGAGCTGGCTCACACTGACTCAGCTTAGAGGGAACACTGCTCTGGAGCCCTCCTTCCTGAGCTAAGACAACAATGTGCGAGCTGGAGGCTAAAAAACTGTGAGCTGGCTCACACTGACTCAGCTTAGAGGGAACACTGCTCTGGACAGCTGCTTACGTATGCCTAGGGCTGCCAACCTCCAGGTGGGGGCTGGAAATCTGGAATTACAACTCGTCTCCCAACATCCCGTAGCCAGGACTCTTTAATTCGGGGGAGGCTTTAAATATGTCGGGGGGCACCTCCATACCCCCCCCAAGTGAGCAGCCGTGCTCCCACCCTCCCCTTCCCTGCAGCTCACGCGCGCTGAGACGGATGTCTCCCAGCTCCTCCGTCCGTGGAGGCCTCCTACCCTCACAGCCTGTCTGCTGCCGGGAAAGGGGGCTGCCCTCTAATTTCAGCCTGTCGTTCTCAGCCACGCCAGCTGAGAAGCCGTGAATTGGGTCCTCTTTCGGCAGCCCGAAGGAGACGTGCCCAGCAAGGCCAGTGGCTCTGGTGCAGGCTGGCTCGAGAAAAGCAGCAGGCCGGGGCCCCGCAAGTCCCCAGGCGAAGAAGGGCAGGCGGTGGCAAGGCCAAGGATTAGCCGGCTGCAGGGGGTCATTTCGTAGAAGAGGTGCAGGAGCTCATTCGCATAACTCATCAGCATAACTTATTTATACTCATACTCATTAGCCGCCCTGAGCCTGCTTGCGGGGAGGACGGATTATAAATATAATAAATAAATATAAAATATTTGCGTATGCCACACCCCCTGACTTCACCGGAAGTGTGTCAGAAGGCAAAACCCACTGCTCAGGCTCCACTGGACTGTTTTGGATTGCTAGCTATTGGGGGGGGGGATGTGCGCAGAGGAGGGAGAGCTTGTACCTGAATAAAACTTGGTCTTAAAGGTGCCACTGGACTGTTTTGGACCGGGGGGCTGGGGGGCGCTCTGCAACTTACCTGGCTGCTTCTTGCTCTGACTGAGGGCTGCTGGGAGCAGGGGGTGGGGCTTGTTGCATGTGCCCGCCTGCTAGGCTCTTTACTGCCGGAGCTCCGCTCCTGCAGGAAATGACCCCTGGCCGGCTGGAAAGGGAACGGCTGAGCTTTGACTCAAAGGGGGGGGACGTTGGGGGCATCCTCTCCTTCCTTGGGGACAAACCCTGAGGGGGGGTGGAGTGGGCTGCCCAGAGAAGCAAGTGCGCCTTGCTCTGCCCACTCGCCAGCGCAGGCAGGCCACGGATAAATGCTGTGTACAGTGCTGCAGGGGCGGGAGAAAGAGGGCAGGTGGTGGGAGGAGAGGAGGGAGGTGAGCCAAAAAATAAAAAAGGGGCAGTAATGGGGCAGTATAGCGGGGAGGTTGGGCCACGAGGGGACCCACCATAGCTATGGGCCCGGACGAAATAAATTGCATATTTATTCATGCTTTAAATTAATTTAAAACATTTGTTCCACTTCTGGAGAAAATAGCTGCATTGGAAGATGGGCTACAGGGCATGATGCCCGAGTGAGGCCCCTCCCCTCTCTAAACCCCGCCCTCCTCAGGCTTCACCCTCAAATCTTCAGGTATTTCCAAACCCAGAGATGGCAACCCTCTGTATGCTGCCACCGAGTATCTAGAACGCACAGGACTTGTTCGTGGGATCCAAGACTTAATTGTGTTTTGTTTTTTACATTTGTAGTTCCTGAAAGGCAGAAGGATGCAGCGTTAGAAACTGGACGCAGGATATTTGAGAAGGTTGCTCAGAATCTATCCAGGTCTGATGGCTTACGTTATATCAACTCCTCTGTCCTGTCTCTGATGGACTCAAGCTGTTGTGGTTATCACAGGGCTTCCTATATCCTTGCTGTTATCTTTGAAATCGGACTGGGTGTGCCTGTCGACCCAAACCAGGTAAGGAATTGGGATGTCTCTGTTGGAAAGTGTGAGAAAGAACACTGCCAATATTGTGTGTCTCATTGGCTGAACCTTATTTGTAGGCTGGAAACAGGGTTGTCGGGAGCTGAAGGCAATTTAATTTACATATTTGTGCCATTTAATAGCAGTTCAGATACTAAATCAATCTTGCCCCTCCACCATTTTCTTTTCTTTTAAAAGTTGACAAATAGGCATTTAGCTGAATAGATGTACCCACAGCACTGGAAAAGGTATCTAAAAATCCACAGTGATTATTTTTAATTGTAAGAATTCGCTGAAAGTGGATAGCAGAGTTGTAGGTACTAGCCAATCAGTGCTGTGTACAATCCTTCTGTAAATCTACAGCCTTGTGCACTGCCTTAAAATGTACTAACTGTCTCCAGCCAGTTTCTTTTAGTACAAATGGCTGCAGAAAGAAAGAGCTTAATGTTGTAATTCACTTGCAGCCAAATTCACGTGCATCCTTCCATCATTTAAGTACCTGGGAGGGTGGTTTGTAACTTTGAAATGCCTCTGTTTCATAGAAAAATTAACCATCAGAGGGCTTTCTGCATTCTCATTTTCCTTGCTTGTGTGTTGCTTTGGGGG